AAAGTCTGTCATATCATTTGAAGCAGGGCCTAGACCCTCCCCCTTGTATCATATTCTTAATTTCTAAAAACACTTACTCTTCTCTGTTCCTTTCTAATGACAGAATGTTTCTGTCTCATGGATGTTGTGTTTTCTCTAAGGCTCTTTCCCAGTATGTTTTGTTCTGAAGACTTCCCCTTTAATGTCTGGAGACCCTTAGGTGCCTCTCTAGCTTATTTATGATTTATTAGCCACAGCTCTTTGCATATGGGATTGTATAGTCCTAGGCTTCACTATAAGTGACCTGGCTAAAATGTTGATGTCAGGTCTTTTGCATGAGCTATCTGGTATACCGAAGGATAATATTCCTAAATCTTTTCTTGAGACTAAGCCACTGGAACTCAAATAGCAGAGAAGGCTGGGTGTTTGAACAGGCAATGTATGTGCATGAGCTGAATGCCCCTGTTTTAAGTATTAGACTCTTACTGTCATCTAACTGTCCCTGAAACCTGTGTTTCACCTCAGAAGAACTGTCTGGACTCTCCTTGTCTGCCTGGCAAGGGTCAGTGTTTTGCCTGTGTGATACAGAACAAAATCTATGAGGGCAATGTCTTTGACTTTTAGCCAATTCTTCTTTTCTTTCTGCTTTTGCTTTTGTATATTTGTATGTACATGTTGTGTGTGGAGGACAATGGTCAATACTGGGTGTCTTTCTTGGTTACACTCCACATTGTTTATTGAGAGAGGGTCTCTCCATGAACCTGGAGGTTCCCCAAATCTGGTAGACTTGCAGAGCCCCAGAACCCTACTTACCTCTGTTGCTACAAACACCGAGGTTATAGACATTATGCCATCTGGAATTTTATTGTGGACACTGGGGATCTGAATTCAGGTTCTCATGCTTGTACCACAAGGCCTTTACCAAGTGAGTCATTTCCCAGCCCCTTCTGTTTTTGCTACCACTTTCACTTTTATTTCTAGTGATCTTCCCTGTCTGTTTTAGTTTGAAGTCAGTTGTCCTTAGGTTTCCCTGGCACTGGCTAAGGCTTCATTCTCCCCATTTTGATAAGCTTTTTCCCACCCCCGGGGTCTGTTCTTTAGCTTTCAACATTTTATTGCTGATTATCTGCTCTTTCCTTCCGTTTGATCTTGTAGATTTATGTCTTTTCCATTTTGTAGGCCTTTGAAGGGAGCAAAGGTAATGAATTTATTCAGTCCTCTATTTTTGATGCTTGTTTTCCAGAGCCCACCCACTTTCGGTCACGCAGCTTTTATCTTTAAATTGTATCCATTTTCTACCATCTTGGTTCTGTTTCTCTTGGCATTTTTCTAATTCAGACTCAGAGACTCTTGTGTAAACAGCATCTTCACCAAGATTCCTCACCTTTGAATCTATTGTGTATAATGTTGCCAGGCCATCCTGGCAAAGGTGAGCTCTTTGTGACTCCATCCTTGTTTAACTAACCCAGGCTTTTGATATATGTAGAGAACCCCTAATCTGAAAACTTCAAACATTCTGAGTTCCGTGATGTTTTTGGATATTTGGAGCCTTTCCGATTTCCAGATTAGTGATGGTCAAACAGTAAGGTCTGTGTAAATATTTCTCAATCTCAAGACTCTGACACACAAAATATCTCTGGCCCTAAGCAATTCAGACCAGAAGTGCTCAGCCTGCACTCACCAGCTGTAAACCACGGGGTGGCCTTGCATTTGAGATCTGGCATTATAGCCCTTGAGACTTTTCCAAACTTACAGTCATTTATGAGTCCTAAGGCTTCAAAAGCCTAAGTTCTTCTTTTTTGTCCCATGTCATAGTCATACCTCTTACCTCCACACAAGTTTTCACTTCCAATTAAGTCCAGTCAACTACTCCACCTTTATCCTCAGTGTTGTATGACTGATAGTCGAATGAGGTTGACCTGTACCCTGAATATAATCTGCTTTGTTCAAATTTGACTGACCTAAAGGTTAATCTCAGCCTAGAAATCCACAGGAGCTGTTGCAATAACGCATTCTGCCACATTTACTGAGCAATCCCTCCTCCTCCGTCCACCCAACTTGCAATTCTCTGTGTAATCATAGGGCTGCTGTTTCTGTGGCTTCATGCTGGGCCAGCCTAGTGGCCTCAGCTCCAAATGGAGCATGCTCCCTCTAGAGAAGAGAAAAGTGATTCCACTGATCTCCTACCAGGGCACTGGCTTCCTCATGCTTGTGCCCCAACCAAAGAAAGAAGTCACTGTGCCTGTAGACAACTGATTCTAAACACTAAGAGGAAATTGTTTTGTTAGTCTGCATACGCTAAACAAGTGTATGTGGAATATAAGTGGCTCTTGGTTGTGTCTTAGTGTTATTGACACTATGACCCAAGACTAAAGTCAACAGAAAACTATACCAATTTAGGTAGGATCAATATTTTAGATGCTTTAGGAATGAGGCTAGGAATCACCTGACCATGTAATGAGAACTATGAGTAGGTGAGATAAGGCATTTGTTAGGGTAAAAGCAATAGGACTTGATGATGGAGGGGGGCAGTTATGAAGAAGAGGAGTGACCATGGAGCCAGTAATGAAAATGAGGCCTATGGTTGTCCTAATTATTTGTTTCTTCTCTCATGAATATCCCTAAATATCTATATGGAGCTATCTTTATTTCTTTTCATATTGTGGGTCATAAGATGTGTTAGCTTCATATTGCAGCATTTAAGCACAGTTAATTTTAACACCATAGTGTTTAAATTATAGAATATCAATGAGAAATTTTATCATTATTTTGCATCTTCCTCAGGGAAATGGTTAGGCTGTATTCTTACACAGTATCACTGTGTCATGGCCTGGTTACTTGAAAATCAGATGTCCAAAAAGCCAGTCAAATATTTATTCTAAGATGTTTCTGTGTAGGTTGTTTTGTTTTTGAGACAGGACCTTACACTGTAGCCCAGAAATTCCCTCTGTAGCCCAGGTGCTTTGAAGTAATCCTCCTGCCCCCAACTCCCAAATGCTGGCTTTATAGGTGTGGCTTCCATGTCCAGCTCATTTTTTTTGTGTGTATATCTAGGATGAGATTAACATTTAAACTAGTCAATTTTGAATAAAGCAGATTATACTCCATGGTGAAGCTCAGCCTTGCCCAGCTTTTGTAAGGAAGAAGAATGCTGCTAGTAACTTTGCTTTGGATTTGAACCATAACATGAACCCGATGGCTCTCACTAAATATTTAGGCTTGCATTCTCATGAGCCAGTCTTACAGGATACAACTTAATTAAAATCAATTTCTGCATGTATGTGCATCTGTACTCACCTACCACTGATTAACTCTGTGTCTAATCTTTTCTGAAGCCCTGTTTGTGTACTCTCCATCCTGCTTTTGAATCACAGTCTCTCTGTAGTCTAGAGCGACTTGGAACTCATTCTACAGTCCAGGTTTGCCTGGAACTCTTTTTTTAAACAGAAGACTCAATTTTATTTGTTTTCTAATTATGTATCTGTCTATGTGTCTGTATGGGGAATATGCATGTTAAATTCAGGTTCCCACAGGGGCCAAAAAGGGATTAGATCCCCTGGAGCTCGAGTTAAAGGTGATTATGAGCTGTCTCATGTGGCTGCTGGGAACAAAACTCCAGTCCCCTGAACAAACAGCCCATACTTTTTAATCTCTGAGCCACCTCTCCAGCCCCCGACTTTAAACTTTTAAATTCCTGCTTGTCTCCCAAGTGCTGAAATAACAGGCTGTTCCACCAGTCCTGACTTTACTTTTCATTCTTGAGTGATAAAAACCTCTTTACTAAAGATATCATTAGTAAAGAAAACATGATGACAAAAAGTCATCATTTTTCCCTTAGATTAAAACAAATAAACATTAACCTAATTCTAGTGGAAAACAATAAAGAAAGGAGTTAGTTATATGCAACATTTGGGTCTACTTTCCTGGAAATATGCTATTCTTTGTACCACTAATCATAGATGTTGTTATCTTTAAGGTGAGGGAGGCTAGGTTTTGACCAAGGCATTCGAAACTTTAATACCTAACATTTAAAGAAATGCTGCTTATATAGTATCCATGTGGTTTTAATTAGGTTGAACAAAATCTTTACTTAGGGTCTTAAGTCCATAAAGCCTAAGCCTAATTTTCTTTGCTATTTGCCAAGCTGCGATGTAAATGGTACAGAGCACACCACATAGAATCCAGTCACTGAAAAAGAGAATTATGATTATATCCAAAACTAGACATACATAATGTATATATACCTAACACACATTCCACATTCACCCAAACTTTGTAGAACCCTAGTCATTAGTCATGAAAAGGGAGGATGAAATCATCTATTAAATTACATACCTTCTGGAATACACTGTCCAAGAACAAATTTATATCCTTTGCAGCATTTTTTCCTAAGAGACAAACAAAAAAAGCATCTTAGTTGTAATGTTGGGTTGAAAATAAGGTTATTTATAGTTACTGACATTGTATAAGATAATGTGTCCCAAAACCCTAGATATAGAGGGGAGGTGGAGTATTTTTAACACAACCTGAGGTCTAAAAGAAAAATATTAAAGTTAGATGCCCACATATCTTCCAAATACCAGGATCTGCCATACAATATATGAAACCAACCCTCTGGGTCCTATGAAGTAGATTTATTGCCTCTGGAGAACAATATAGCTTTAGTGTATAAATGAAGGACCACAGACAGGAGTAGATGAAGTCCTGAGCTACCACTTCCACAGCCTCATTTTCACCTTACAGCTAATCAAGGAAATCATCTACATCCTGACAGAGTACAAATGCACAATGTTGCTAGAGGACACTTGTACAAATGTGATCCCCTCTGAAGAGACCATCAGGGATTCAACTCCCAGATGTTAGAACAATCTGACTTCAAAGTAGTTCCTTATATGTTGTCCAGAGACATAAAGGAAACTATGCTTGTAACCAATTAAAACAATAAAAATTTCAGCAAAGAAGCAGAAACTTTTATTATTGGAAATTACAAGGTTAGCCAGATGGCTCAGTGGGTTAAAGTATTGGCACGCAGCCTCATAGTCTGAGTTCAATTCCCGAATCCCACTGGAGGAGGAGTGAGCTGACTCTAGAAAGTTGTCCTCAGACCTCTATATGTGTGGTGTGTTATACACCCTCATCCTTCCCCTTCTCAAGTAATAATAATAAGAGAAAATATATTTTAAAAACCAGAAATTCTAAAACTACAAAACTTATCTAAACATTAAAAAGAAACCCACAAAAACCCAAACAGGATCTGCCATAAATATTTAACAGAAAAATGCAGAGATGATGTAAGAAAGACACTGAAGCAACTAACTGGGCACGATGGTGCACACTCTTAACTCTAGGACTTGGGAGCCTGAGGCAGTTGGATGATGAGTTCAAGGCCAACCTGGGCTACAAAGTGAGATTCTATCTTTTAAAAAAAGTGAATTACTAAGCATACAAACAGTAATTATTCACTCTGTAGAAGAAAGACAAATATTTGAAAAATGAATGAAGGTGCAGATTTAGGTACATGTGACCAGATTCAGAGGTCTAATGTACCACCAGAGGAGAAGTAGTGAATTAAGTGGAAAATAGATTTGAAAGAGTTGTTGAAATTCTCAAAATTTAAGGCAGCTTCTCCTCTATTGCTTAGATTGCCAGTTGGTGTCATCCTTGTAGATCTCTGGAAATCTCCCTAGTGCCAGATCTCTCCTCAAATCTATAATAGCTCCCTCTATTATGATATCTCTCCTCCTGCTTTTCTTTCCTGGACTCAACCTTCCTGCTCCCCCATTTCCTCCTCTCCCCTCCTCTTCTCCCCCATTCTTTATCCCAGGGAGGGCCTAGGCCCTGCCCTGGATGATATGGAAGACTCTGGGGATCCCCCATGGAGGGACTCACCCTCCCTGGGAAACAGAGTGGGGATGGGGTAGGGGGTTTGGATAAATTATAAAAAGAAAATCCTCAAAATTTAGTGAGACAAATTTCCTGATTAAAGAAGTTTATCAAGTACCACATAAGATAAGAACACACGTATACATACACATACATGCACACAAAAACACGTACAGTT